GGGTGGAACTGCATTTGGTGGAAGAAGCAGCAGAAGGCTGAGATTCCCAGCATACATTTGGTTTTCCTGTTTCCCAAGCACGAGACCATTTCCCCATTTCTACCAGGGGCCGGGAGCTCTAAGTGCAGAAGGAAGCAAGGGAGGGATTTGGAAGGGGTGTCCCCATGTCTGAGTGCTGCGTCCCCACCAGTCGGCACCTTTTGAGCTGGTTGACAGCGCCGCTCTCTTAATGGCGTACGTCTTCAGGCACCTCTCAAACGCATCGTCCCAGAGCTCCACAATGCCGTCCTTGCCCCCAGTCACGAAGCCCTGCGAGGGCACAGATGGCAAGTATGAGACGCGCCCAGCATGGTGCCCACCTTGGGGGTGGGGCACCTGTGTGTGTGTCCTTTCTGAGGCTCTGGGATGGAAGCACCCCCCACCCCACCCCACCCACACCCATTTCTCTGGTGGGACTGAGCATGCTCTCATTGCTCTGTCTGCCACTGGATGGTGGCCTGTTGTCTCCGTGCCCCGTTCTCTAAGTAGGAGGTGGGCTTCTGTGGGTGAGCCCAGCCTCCCTCATCTCTGTCCTCAAGCCTGGCCAAGGTCCTCCTGTGCCACTGGCACCATGAGGAGTCACCTGGACACCTGGACAGTCACTCCCAGGAGACCGTGCCGTGATTCAGAGAATGACTCAGGTGTGTCCCGGGGTGGAATTATCCCGCTATCGATGGCTAGCAGCTCAGGCTACATTCACATCCACAGAGACGAAAACCCACATTAAGTGTCCACAAGACTGGAACAGGACAGCTTAACATATCGGGCACTGTTGCTGAACATCATTATCTTCACGTGGAGGCTAATGACTTATTGGTCTTCCCAGCTTTCTGTTTTGGCAACTTATTATAGACACCAAATGCCCACATTAGCCTTTGGTCTAAGAGGTCAAAGAGGGCAGATACACCTCCAGCAGGGGCAGCGGATGGCAAATTGGCTGGAGAGAGTGTTTGGATGGTGCTGAAGGTGAGTGGATCTTTGGGCAGAAACAGGGCCAGGTCGACGGAGACAAACAGGAGCGAGGGTGGGACAGAGCTTCACTCTAACAGGCTTGTTGGAGCGGGCCCTGTTGACCCTGGCTCGTCCAGTCTGAGTGGGCTTTTGGCCAAACTGATGTGTGCAGCAGTGATCGATCCAAGGACCCAGCACTTGCGGGTCTCTGACTCGGGGCAACTGAGGAGGGAGGCAGTTCAAACCCCTTCCCAGGACTCTTCCACCTCTGTGAGTCTACGTTTATGCACACGCTTCCTATGAGCCTCTGAGCAGCGAAACCA